AGGCAGTGTTTGTTGCTCAGCCAGGACAGGGAGATGCAGAGTTTGGATCTGGCCATGTTTGGATTTCAGTAATCATCTCCATAAAGACACAAAAAAAAGGAATTCCTGCAAGGGAATGGATCTAAGTCTCATATTGCACCGAATATTTGCAGTGATTTATTGTCAGCTTTATTAGAAAAGTGTTTTGGATCTCACCCAAACTTCTGCCAGTGCCAGACTGGGTTGTTCACAGGGAGATCCTCTGTGTTACTGTTTCTCTGTGTATTTCCACCATTGCTAATCCCTGCCCTAAGTGAAACCTTTGTTTTCTGTTGTTCTCCAGTCGGATTGGTGAGAACCTGGAGCAGGCTCTGCCCAGCCTCACAGAGCTCATCCTCACCAACAACAACATTGCTGAACTGGTAAGCTGTCATGCAGGATAAAGCTAAACAAGCTTAAAATTTGTGGTTTTCATCCCTCTAATTAACCATTTTCCTGAGAGTAGTGCCATATCCCTTTGGCAATAGTTGGTTCTTTCTCTTTAGAGTAATATCCTAAGTTTTGGCAGTAGTTAATGGTGTACATCCTTTAATGACCAATATTTGCATCATGCAGTGGAACAGCAGTCACAAAGTTTAGTGGTTTTCCTATTAAAATAATTGTAATTTAATTAATCTCTAAAATAGTTATTAGTTCAGGAGCTATGTTTTCAAATATTTTAATTTTTTTTGCTCCTATTAAAACAATTGTAATTTAATTAATCTCTAAAATAGTTATGAGTTCAGGAGCTATGTTTTCAAATTTTTTTTTTTTTTTTGGTAAAAGGGCTTAAAATTTCTTGCTGTGCTCTCTTTACCCAGGGTGAACTGGATCCATTATCAACAATTAAATCATTGACTTACCTGAGGTATGTAACCCACAAAGAAAAGCTGCTCTTCCTCTGGTGTTTGGCCCTGTGCTTTGGGCTGGGATGCTCTGCTTTTGATGAGCTGTGACAGATCCTTTATGTCTCAAAATTGAATTGATAAAGTGTTTGCTCTACTCTTAATGAGCATCTGGTAATTAATGTCTGAGGTTTTATATCACTGACAGGCTGTTGGGATAATGAGATCTAACATCTCTAGAAACCAGCACACAAGTGCTCAAGTGAACTTAACCTTCAAAAACCCAAAACCAAAAGGTTTAATCTGTTGATAAAAAACAGTTTAAAATACATGTAAGCAAGGACTTTTCAGTAATACTACATTTGGTGTGAGGGACAGAAAGAAACACAGTTTGTCCTGTGATTTTTCAGTTGATCAGTGTCCAGACAGGAAAAGTGATGTTTCAGTTATTTGGGGGGAGTATTATGATTATTTTGAGGTTGTTCTTTATGTCATCCTTCAGTTAAATCTACTGAAGTTCTAAAGTGCAAGTTTTTATTATAGTTTCCATTATATCAAAGCACTGTCACTAAGCTTATTTCATGGTGTTGTTACCTGTTACAGCAGGAAGTACATGAATGCATTTCAAATATATTAATATATTTCAATACAAGTGTGTTTTAAAATATTTTGTAACCTTTATTTACTCCACAGCGTTCTAAGGAATCCTGTAACAAATAAGAAACATTACAGATTATATCTAATTCATAAAGTTCCCCAGGTCAGAGTGCTGGATTTTCAAAAAGTGAAGCTCAAAGTAAGTCTGCTTGCTTTTCATTTAGGTGGTTGGGTTTTTTTGTGTTTTTTGTTTGTTTGTTTGTTTGGGGGTTTTTTTTGTTTGGTTTTTGTTTGTTTGTTTTTCTTTGTTGTTTTGGGGGTTTTTTGTTGTTTTTTTTTGTTAGGCCTTTTTTGGGGGGTTATGTTGGGTTTTTTTGGTTGTTGTTTAGTTGTTTTGGTTTTTTTGTTTGTTTGTTTGTTTGGGGTTTTTTGTTTGTTTGTTTTTCTTTGTTTGTTGTTTTGGGGTTTTTTGTTGTTTTTTTTTGTTAGGCCTTTTTTGGGGGGTTATGTTGGGTTTTTTTGGTTGTTGTTTAGTTGTTTTGGTTTTTCTGGTTCTGGTTGATTTTTTTGTTTGTTTGTTTTGGGGTGGTTTGTTTGTTTGTTTTTGGTGTTTGTGGGTTTGGGTTTGGTTTTTTTGGGGGATTTTTTTGCATTCTTGAAAATTCACCACTAACAGTGACCTTGTTGTCATAGCTGTAAATTTTATTGAATCTCTGTAAGTGGCTCTACAACGCTCTCATTGTTTTCTTTCATGGTTTCATTCTGTTAAGGAATATAATCTGTTTAATGATGTTTAATTATGTTTCAGTGCCTTTGTTTAGTGTTACTCTTTCCCGTCCCTCTGGTGTTGGGAGGAGAGCAGGAAAGAGCAAACAGCACAGGCCTGAGCTCTGGGTGGGGGATGAGTGTGGGAAAGAGCTCTTCATTTTAACAGCACAAGGCTGATAAATCTCTGAGTATTTGGGCAGTGTTTATCTGCTTGTTCTCACATCTGGTCTCCATGTACCAGTTTCACTGATGAGGATGAGCCACAGTGTCTTTGTTGGCCGAGACAGAAGCTTTGCAGACTGTGATGTTCTCACATTAACTTTGTGTGTGTGTGTGGTATCGCTGTAGGAGCGACAGGAGGCAGAGAAAATGTTCAAGGGCAAACGGGGTGCACAGCTTGCAAAGGATATTGCCAGGAGAGCAAAAACGTAAGATAAAACAAACAAATTTACGCTGGCATCCTCCTTCAGAAACACCACTGGCTTTGTGTGCTGTATCAGGCAGAAAACTGAAATATCAGCTGCTGGCAGGATGCCTCAAAAGCTCTGGGAGCCACAAGTGCCTTGTCCAAGCACTTTGTTTTGGATGGTGGTGAACACATCTCAGAAGTATTTCTGAAAGAGCTAGCTTGGTCAAGGTGGATTCACTGAAGTCAACAAGCAGGAAACCTTAATTTTATGTTTGTTATTTAACTGCAGAGAGATGGCCATTATTTAATTTGTGGTTGGTGGAGTTTTTCTCCTAGATGATTGGTTTTGTTTGGCCAAATTATTTTATTTCCCAAAATAAATAATTATATATTTATTATATTTCTATAATTATATATATGTATTTATTTTGGGAATAAACTGCAAAATCTGCTGTAGTTAGGAGATGAAATACAAATTAAAATCTTTAATTAAGCTATTACAGTATGTTTATATTTATTTAGTTTAATTGCTAAGTGGTACATCACATGTTTTGATCAACCTATTTGGTAAGAGGAATTCACATCACAGCATTTCCAAATTCATGGTTAAATAGAAAAATGTGTTGAACTTATTTAGCATTTAAACCTTTAATAGATGGATTTGAGCTCGAGTTTGTGAGTGGAAAGGGATTCAGGTCAGGTGATCTCCTTAAAGCAGCAGCAGCAGATAACCTTCATCTTTTGACTGTTAAGATGATTCCAGTTTAATGTAGGCTTTACTTTAGGCTGCTGTAATACCACATTTGACACATGGGAACAGAAACCCCATTTTCAGTTACTCTTTATTTATCCACCCTGCTTTTGTAATGGCAGCAGAGCAGCTGAGTGTTCAGCAACATCCAAACTGAAGAGCTTTTGTCAACTGCCTGATGAATAAAGTTCTGCCTCTGAGCAGATGAAAAGGTGGGGGGGAATGAGGACAAGATGCTGGTGTTTCTGAAGGAGGCAGTTCTTCACTGTATCAGTTTGTTAACAAAGATAAGATACTACACTTGATGGAATGAAATGCTTTCAAACCTAGTTTGGAAGCATTTCAAGTTAAGAGAAGCAGCTACTCTTCAAAATGTGTAACAGGTCTTTTTTTTTCTTCTTTTGAAGCTTCAATCCAGGGGCTGGTCTGCCAACAGACAAAAAGAAAACTGGGCCCTCTCCAGGGGACGTGGAGGCAATTAAGGTAAATATGTCAGGAGAAAAGCTGTCATGGATCCAGACTGAACAAAAGTTTCCTTTGTGCTGCTCAGACAAACAGATCAGGGTGTCCTAGCTCTGGTTTAGGTTCTTTTTCTCTAAGTTTTCTTCTGACCTGTCTCTATTTTGAAATCTTCAATGAAATGTCAACCTGAGCTTAGAGTCCTTCCAGTGGAGGGCGAGGTAATGATTTGCCATTTGTAGAATTTTCTAGAACCAGAATTTAGTAGAACTTCCCGAGGTGTTCAGCGTCCCTCAGCTGTCAGAATCCAGGTTGTGTGTTGTTGTGAGCAGAGTGCCCAGGCTGTGTGAGGACTGACCCAGCTCTCTCTCTGTTTCTCAGACTGCCATTGCCAACGCCTCGACCCTGGCGGAGGTGGAGCGGCTGAAGGGATTGCTGCAGGCGGGACAGATCCCCGGCCGGGAGCGCAAACCAGGTCACTCCGCCTCTGCTGCTCCTCCCAAACACAGCCCAGCCCTCTCCCTGCTCCCTGTGTCATCTCTGCTTGTCACCTCTGCAGCACGCCCCTGGCCCTGTGACGTGCCTGGCTGCAGGGCAGCTCCGGGCTGTCCCCTGCTCTCTCTCCCTGCAGAGCCAGGTGCCAAACAAGGCGCTCCAGAGTTCATCCCAGTTATTTAACAAAATTAGATTAATTGCAGAGTCTCTCTGGTCTCTGCTGAGCAGCGGTGCCTCAGCAATGAGCCTGGCAGCTCTGCAGAGGTGGATCTCTGCTGCAGGCTGGCCGTAGCACCAGTTTCCTGCACGTCAGGGCTACCTGATTGTCCTTTCTGCAGAGTTTTTAAACGTCCCCGTTATTACTGTTCTGCAGAGGGGTGGGAAAAGGAGCAGCAACGTCAGCAGCCCCTGCCCTAAAACTCTGACGTGTCCTTTCAGGCCCATCGGAGGACGGCGAGGAAGAAATGGAGGAGGACACAGTGCCAAACGGCTCGTAGCGCGGGCCGTGCCCGCCGGGAGCCCGTTCCTGTCCCGTGCCGTGCCGGTGTCCCCGGCGGGGCGCGCCCCCGCCCGCGCGCGTTCCGCTGTTCAATAAACGAGCGGTCCCTTTTGCTCCCGCTGGCCGCGTCCGCTTCCCGGCCGGGGCGGGGCGGGGCGGAAGGCGTTTAGGCGCGCCCTGATTGGCTGCCTTGCTCTTGCCCCTTCTCTCATTGGCCGGCGCAGCCATACGTCACTCCGGGCACTGCCAATGGTGGCGCGGCGCTTCCTGCCGGCGGCGGACGGGGCGGTGATTGGCTATGGAGGCGCTGCAGCACACGGGTGAGGCGCCGCGGGCCGGGGGTGAGGGCGGGCCCGTGCCGCGCGGCCCGCGCTCACCCCCGGCCTGTCCCCCCGGCAGTGGGCTCGGTGCTGTCCAGCTACGGCTGGTACGTGCTGCTGGCCGCCGTGGCCGTGTACCTGCTGCTGCAGAAGGTGTCCCGCGGCCTGGCGGCGCGGCCGAGCGGCCGGCCCGGAGCGGCGGAGGCGGCGGAGGGTGAGTGCCGAGCGCTGCGGTGCCCCGGGCTCCTGAGGGCCCGGCGCGGGAGCTGCGCTGTGAGGGCTGGGAGGGAGAGCTCCGGGGAACCGCAGGTGCCGAGCCTGCGGGGATCCCGGGACAGGCTGGGCCGAGGGAGGCGTTTGTGGAAGGAGGAGCTGTGTCCCACAGGACCGCGTGTGGGGGTGGAGGAGCGGGACATCCCCTGGGTGTCTGCTCTCGGCGGGCAGGAGCTGAGGGCAGCAGCGCCTGTGGCCGTCACCAAATAACTCTTCACCAAACAAAACCGAAGCGCACAAATCGAAATCCTGGAGAAAATACTTCTGTAAATACTCACCTTTTATGGATATTCATCACCCCCTTCCAGCCGCTCTTTCGCGGTCCGTGCTGTGTGCGTTTGGGGTGTGTCACTGTGTTATCTCTGGGAGCGTGGCACGGGTTGTAGATCTCACAGTCACCGTCCTGCTGAAAGGCACAGGCTGTGCTCGTGCACCTGCCAGATCCACGGCTGCTTGGCACTGATCCCTTGGCCCCACAGTAAAATCTGAGTTGTGTGCTCTTATCCTCCTGCTGTTCTTTTGTGATGATAATTAAATGGCTATTTAATTGCCCAAACTGCCTGTAAAATGAAATTATTGAAAGTACTGATATTTCTTTTTCATATTCGTCACTGGATCATAGCAAAAAATGAGGCAAACAAATGTGGAGATGCTTCAGCTGCTGGAAGAAAACAGAGCAACACTGACCTTTTTTGGGGGGGTATAATTTTCCTTTTGACCTTCACAGGTCAGTCATGAAGAGCAGTGGTGACTCAGTGTGGATTTTCTGAGACCTCCAGGTGTCTCTTGAGATGTGTGTCATGTTTGTCAGTGATTTTCTGCTGATGGAGGGTGTCACATCCACTGCTGCACTGACACCAGCAGGACCCATTGCCAGAAGGAGTGGGAGTGCTTGTGGGCTGCTTGCCTCATCCTTCTGCGTAAAAGAAGTTCTCTGGGTAAAAATGGTCCCTGCGAAGCCTGGGTGATATTTCTGAATTAATTTGTGTCTAACAAATCCTTCAGAAATAGAAGGAAGTGTCCTTGAAGTGTGAGGTTTAAATTTTGTGGTTAGGTACATTCGTGTCCTTATTAAAATCCTGTTGAAGTAATTGATTTAAAACAGCAAAGCATGATGTAGTTTAATTCAGCATTATAAATTATTAGAAAATATTAGCTGGAAACTGAACTTGAATTGTGATTTTCTGCAGAACAGCTGCAGGGAGAGAAGTGAGCCTTTCTTTATGAGCCTCTTTTATTCATTGAGGAGACCATCTAGGATTATCTTTGAGTATCTTTGCAAACTCTTCCCTGATTTCCTAGAGCCTGATGTGGTGGTAAGAAGGCAGGAAGCTTTGGCAGCAGCTCGCCTCAGGATGCAAGAGGAACTGAATGCACAAGCAGAAAAATACAAAGAAAAGCAAAAACAGGTAACCAGAGAGCATTTCTTCCTTTAACTGATACATTTGTCATCAAGACCTTTCTGCTGTAAAGGACAGCAGCAAATTGTAATTGTGGGCCAGGGTCACTGTGGGCCTGGTGTTCTTTTTTGCCCAGGTAAACCTGCAGGAGCTTTGTTGTGTGTGCAGTGAATGGCTGGAGGGGTTTTGCTGGCATTTAAATTAGCTGTACCATGGCACATGTGTGTTTTCTGCTCTCAAAGGCAAATAAAGTGTTAGAAATGTAGCTGAGCATTGCTGCAGTTGAAGGGTCTGAATTACAGCTTGAGATCACGAGGAATAGCAAACTGCTGAATGGGGCAGTGCAGAAAATGGGTGTGATCAGCATAGTAATAACTGATCATTATCCCACCTCTTCTGGTTTTGCTTTTGCAGTCAGACCTCACTTTGTAGCTGATGCTTCAAGTAGTATTAGCAGTTAAAAACAAAGGAAAAGCCCTTTTTTTCTTCTGTAAAACCCCATGTTGTGCATTAAATTACTGCAATATTCTTTACTTAGTACTTTTGATAGACTCAGGGTTTAAACTTGCCACTTGGTTCTGTTTTACCTTCAAAATCTTTTAAAGCATCAAGTGGCCAAAGAAGCTGCAGGCTCAGTCAGTGCATCCCGAGGAGGAGGAGAGATGTGGCTGTATAAAAAGAGTAAATTCTTCCATAACCTCAGAGATGGTGCATCAGATAAATACAGTGTGACAAGTCTGTTGTAGCTGTTTCTGGGGATTCTGTTAGCTCTGGAATCCTGGTTTTAAGGTTAAAGCTCAGATTGAGCCAGTGTCCTGGATTTGTTCTGTAGCTGGAGGAGGAGCGGCGGAGGCAGAAGATCGCCATGTGGGAGAGCATGCAGGAGGGGAAGAGCTACAAAGGAAACCTGAAACTGAATCAGGTAACAGCCATGTTCATCAGGTCACAGCTGTGTTCCTGTGCTTAAGGGAGATGAAATTCCTGTTGAGTAACTTTTTGCTTTTCTGAACAGCAAGAAGTAGAACCTGGTGCCTCGGCCTCAGCAGTCCCGAAATCGAAACCGAACAAAAAGCCTTTGAGAGGAGGGGGTGAGTATGGAGCCCTTCAGACACTCTGAGCTTGGAACAGGGCAGTTATCCTGCTTTATATGGACTCTATACATACTTTTTGTCTTTTTCAAGGAGGAAACAAAACGTTCCTTACAAACAAGCTCTTTATCTCTGCTCAGCTAATCTGCTCTGTCCTCTGTGCAGAAGCTGGCAGCAAGTTTTGGGAGTGCTTTTCCCTGGGAAAAGAATGTGTCAGGTTTTTCTGTAAATATGCTGTGGTATAATTTACTGAGATTTTTGTCACTCAGAATTACAGATCCTTGCAGTAGTTCTAGGATCCTTCCCCCATTATTCTGTAAGTTCAATAACTTAGTATCTGGTCTCTTGTCTTTAAAGCACCTGTAGTACTGAGTAAATGCAGGAAGAGGGTATTTTACTTTGTATTATGTAGATTCAGATGATGAAAGAAATTATTATGTAAAATGTGACCTCATTTTTCATAAACCACAGTGCTGACCTATTGAATGTATAAATCCTGCAGATGTATCAATCTTACCAACTCTCACAAAGCACCAGAAGGCCTCACTGTTGAACTCAGTCACCTGCTGGAGCCATGTAGATGGATGAAGTGCTTTCTATGGCCTCACATTGCCCATGCCAGGCTCACTGGCCATGCCACAGTCTGCCTCCTCTCCCCTCAGCCCAAGAGCCCTTGCCATACCTGCAGGTGCTCATTTGGGTGTATTTAGTGACAATTTTCTGTGGTGGAGTGGATCATCCAGGCAGCCTCAATCAGGCTGAAAAGGAGCCCCACGTAGGGTGCAGTGCTAAGTGACTTGATTAAATGTATGAGACCTGTGGATTCTTGATTAAACACACTAAACTTCAGTGACAGTGCAGTGCTGGGATTTCTGCTTTGAGTATTTTCCCTGACATTTGAAGGAATCAAATAGATTGATTAATCTGAGGTGGTTTAATAGGAGAGTGTGATGTCTGGTGCTGTCAGCTGTCTTTGGTACCTCTGTCATGGGGTATTTACCTCCCTGGGGGATGAGGAGTGCAGGGCTCAGCTGTGCTGAGAGCCAGGGTCAGGGCAGCTGGCTCTGGGCACCCTTCCAGCTGCTACCTGTCCCAGTTTAATCCTCAGCAAAGTCCTTGCTTAAGTAACCCATTACAGAATTAGAGGTCTCAGATCTTCTCCTGAGGTAGATCAGCATGAAGTGAAAGAACCATCTGTGCTGCTCAGTTAAGCTAGAAAGCAAAACTTGGCTGGTATGAGAAAAACAAATTTCAAAGATGAAGGTGATGCTGGGAGTTTCAGTGAAACAGGTTGCTTTGAAACCCCCCTGGTTAGCAGTGCTACTAGGATTTGGGTTCTTAGGTTTGTGCAGAACAAATTGAAGATGTTTGCCAAGTTGTAACTTTCTGAGTGTGTTCTGAGATGAAGTTTCCCATGGTTACAGCATCAGGTTGTTCAGCTAAAGTGTATTTGCCTCACTGCCTATGCTTGCCTTTCAAATGCTCTAAAAAATACTTTGCAGTGTTAAAGAGTGGATTTACCTTTTGACCTTCAGAGTATTCCTTGCAGGACTGGAATAAAGGATTGTTTTAAGTCCCTGACTGTTGGGGCTCTTGCAGAGCAGATAACTCTGCAGAGTTTGCTGTAAGAGCTGCTGTTGCTGCTCTGTTCATCTTGCAGAGCAGCACTGCAGCTTCGGTGCAGACTTAGAAAAACCAAATGGTAATTCATTTCAATTTCATTTAATCCAAATTGATCAAATTAAAACACAAGTGTTTTGCAATGGCTTTTAAAGAAAGAAGCCCTCTCAAGTCTGGGTGTTCTCCGTGCTTTCATTTTCCCTAAAATGCTGCGTGTGTGAAGTATGAGCAAGGTGTAAATATTATCAGATGTATTTTTGGTGTTCCCTGTGTGCTGGTGAAGGGCTGTGGAGGATGGATACTGACAGTGGGTTTCTCCTGTGTGTTGCAGGCTATAACCCCCTGTCTGGAGAAGGAGGAGGGACGTGCTCCTGGCGGCCCGGCCGGCGGGGCCCGTCAGCAGGTGGATGAGGCTAACCCCCCTAGTGTCCCCTGGCACTAGCAGCTTGATCCCACCCCCTGTCTCACTGCCTGCAGCTGGCCTGTCACAGTGTCACCAGCACTCCTTTGGGGCTGGCTTGGTGCACTTGTTAACTTCAAACAGTTTTTTGTTTGTTGGATTTACACCGTTCCCAAATCGTAACGCATTGGCTGATCCTAAACCAGAAAAACAGCTGATCCTCTTAGAGAGGGCAGAGAGAGAAGCAATTTCAGCACAATCAGTTAATTTTCACTCTTCTGTAGAGAGGGAGTGAAGTACCTGGGATTGTGAGATCTGGGCTTTCTGGCAAATTTAATTATCTATGCTCACTTTACCTCTGTAAGATGAGGATATTTACTGTCCTCAGACATGTTACCAGATTTACCTTCCAGCTAAACACAGACATTTAGAGAAGAAGGATGTTATCATTGGCAGACACCTTGAACTTAGACAGAGGACTTTCACAAAAAACACAGGTGATCTGACAAATGCCACGGATTTGCACCAAAGGCCAGTTACTGCAGAAGAGTCTCTGTGACAAGCCAGCTTGAATGATGTTTTCCTTATAAATGGTAAACAAACCAGTGAGGATTACTGATGCTAGACAGCAGGCAGGGGGGTTCTTGCTATTCCTTTTTTTTCTTTTTTCTTTTTTTTTATTTCAACTGCTTTGTAAAAACAATATACTATTAATATTAAATATAATTGCAAACATCATAAATCTAGTATTTACAATCTCGTGGTTTTCTACAGCATCTTTTTTATAGAAGGCATTTGTTCTAGTGTAATAAATGTGTATAAAGCAAGGTGGGAGATGAAGTGACCCTGCTGCACCAAAGCTGAGGCTGGTGTGTGCTGAGGGGGGCTCTGGCCAGTGAAGGTGTCACTCTGGCAAGTGAGGGGTGCAGGGACTGTGTGGTGTTCATCTTTCTCGTCTATGTCCAGCCCTGAGGACAGAAAACAACTGGCCATCATAACCAAACTTCCCAAGCATCCCATGCCCTTGATTTTCTCTCTAAAATGCAACAGACAAAATCCAGGTTGTCTTTGGAGAGGAGTGAAATGATTCCTCCTGGCATAGGACAAGTGTCCCTGTGTCCAGTTGCTGCTCCTGAGCTGGTCTGTGGGCATTGGGGTAGGGAGCAGTGGTTCCTTAGAGCTTTTTGAGCACTTGTTTCTGAATATTTCCTCTTGGATACTTGTGCTTATCAGTAGATACAAGTGTCAACTTTGACTACACTGTTTATGTACATGTTGATATTTCTCTTGGTTAGAAATGCAGCAGGAGGGTGTTATTAGGGAGTTTTAAAGTTGGTAATGAAATTGAAAGGCCAAGAACCTTTTGTTTTAGACACAACAGAGTGTTTGGTCACATGTGTGTGGAAGGTGAAGCGAGGCTGTTGATGTTCCTGTGGAAATTCATTCAGAAGCCAGCCTATGTAAATTCAGGTTTTAATTCTTCATTAGGCAAAAAAAAATAGAGGTGGGGAAGGATATTTTCAAGATCTGAAGTCTTCCTCAGGAAAGAGGACTAAGTTGTCATGCCTTGGGGAACATCTTCTCCCTTGTGCCTGGGAAACAGGCAACAGACTGAGGTGTTGTCTTCAGAAAAACAAATGGGGGAGGTTGTTGTCTTAAAGAAGCAGAAATCCCTGTGTGATAAAATGATCAGGGGTGGGTTTATTTAATTCAGTAAAAACATTTGCAAAATAAATAAGCAGGTCTTAACTGAGCATATGCTAATCTTTGTGTTTCAAGACTTGCTTCTGGCTAGGACTAGGGATATGGCTTTTTGCCCAATTCTAATGTTTAATAAGACATGTCAAGTGAAAATGAAATTAAGTACATATTTCTGGAAGCTTTCTTCTCCTTCTTTTTTTTATTTTAATCCTCAAGTTCCTGAATTTTTCGTAGTCAGACACTTCTAAGCTGTTGAACAGGGTGGGAGGACAAACCTCAGTTCATAAAACTTTTCTTTTGGCTCACAACCTGCACAAGAGGGAAGGGTTTTTCCTCTGACTTCAGATGGAAAGCTCTCCCGTGACCACAAGCATTATGGAAAGGTGGATGCTTGCTGCTTTATAGCTCAGGAGTGAAGCATGCAGAAAGCATTAGGTGAAAGTGAACTATTTAATGAATCCGTTGTTCCTGGTTTGGTATGAATTCCCAAGAACTTGAATTATGAAAGATCATATTAAAAAGCCTTCAGGAGATTTTTTTTTCCCCCCACTAGAGCAGTTATGCAAGAAGCCTCTTGCTTTACTCATGCAGATGTTCTGGAAATACCTCTATCTGGAAGAAGCTGGGTAATAAACTATTTACCTGCTGTATAATGGTATTTAAACACTGAAGAATAAGCTGTTCTGGGTATTAGAAAATCCAAAAGTCAAGCAAGCGTTCAGAGGCACAAAGAATTTCTGAAGATGTTACTTGCTTGAGAAGTGCAGCTAAGTATTTTTTGTTGCTTTTAGATGATTTATATGCTGGGGGAGCAGAGGTTTTTGTTTTCTTTAAATTGCAGATGAGATCTGGTTTGTGCATAGTTCTCTTAACTATTCATCAGGAGATCCTGAGCACTGGGGTTAAAACTGAACAAAACAACCCACAATGTCAGACTCATAAAATTTAGTTGGCTTTATTTATGCCTTTAAAAAACATTGTGAAATGAGGGAAATTTTAAGAGTGATATTGCATACTTGGGTGTTTAAAAAAATATGTTTCTTATGCTGGAAATTTTTAATAACTGACAGAAGGGGGAGTGAGGGCAATGGGGGAATCTGTCAGCAGAGCTGTTCCCAGGTGTTCCAGAGTTATCTGTGTCTCAATCAAAGATCAATGTGAATGAGAATTATAATTGCACCTGAATCTGCAAGGAACTGCTGTCCTTGCAAAATCTGAGTGCAGGTGTGAAGTGCCAGTACTAACAAATCTCATCTGCTGTGTTTTGTGCAGCTCTGTACTTTTCAGGCTCAAAACTCAAGGAGCTGGGCTGTTCTGCAGTGCCTCTCTGCTCAGGCTCTGCTGATACTCAGTTCAGGTGTTTAAATTGGGGTTTTTTTTGGGGGTTGTGTCTTATTCCCCTCCCTAGAAGATGACTTTGCATTCCAGAGCTCTGTGAAGGGGGATGGCATCCAGCCTGAGTCTCTGTGCCTGTTACCAGCATCCCTGTTGTTGCTGGCTGCATTTAAACCCCTCTAATGCTGTTCTTTCTGCCTCCTGCTCAAGCAGGCAGCTCCCTTCGTGTGCACTTGGGTCCTTGCAAGCCTGGCTGCACATCAGCACACATCTCAGCATCAGATCCACCTTCTGGATGAATTTTGCTCTTATACAGGCTAAAAAGTGGCACCTTTTCAGGGATCAGTTTAGCCACAAGTGGAGCTCAGAGTATTTCTGTCCATGCTTTAGCTGAGCAGTGAAACTATGCAATTTCCAGCTGTAAAAAAAAAGCTGGTCTAGACTTGGATGGGCTGAAGCTTTGGGTTTTTCCTTTTTTTTTTTTTTTTTTTTCCCTCCCTCCTGTGGAATGAAAGCTTGGCTTTTGGAACAGCTCTGCAACCACAAAGGAAAAGCACAGGGCTGCTGGCTGGGTGGTGTCCTGGCCTGGCTGCACTGCTGTAGCTGATTTTTGTGAGAGCTTCCAAGGCAGCCTGACACACACCCTGCCCATACTGCCAGCTCCAGAGCCAGCCACTTCAAAACCTTGTGGTTTTTTTTTGTTTTTTTTTTTTTTTTAATGAGAAACCAATGTCCTCAGTGGGGAGTAGGTGCCCTCAGCTCAGCTTTGGTGGGGAAAATACAAATTTCATGTTGAAGGTTTCAGTGGCAAGGCGCTGGCAGGGAGGCAGGTGCTGTTCTTGTGTATTGATTGCTGTGATTTTATTTTGAAGTGCACACCTGCTAAAAAGCACTTTCAGCACAGCAAGATCTCCACTGGTAAATTTACAATTTCACTCCTCCCTTTACCATAGATTCTTTCTACCATAGATTCTTTCTGAGTGGTGGTTACTGAGCTGAGCTTCTGAGCTGGTTCTGTGGATAATAGTTGTGGAGGGAAGCAGGAAAAAGAACTTAGAAAATTTTATTTAAAGAGAATGGAGGGGAAATGGATACCCTGAAATACCTGGCATTTAAATCTAGTTCTAGTACCCTGCACTAAAATGGGGAGTTACTGTCAGCTTGGCCTAAAAGATGCACTTTGAAAAAACAAAAAAAAACCCCAGATTGTACAGCTTTGTCACATATAGGGAGGGGACAACACTGCCTGTGAATTCCATTTCTTTGGTAATGTAACTGCCACTTCTTTAGGTGTTCTGCTTTTTAGGCTCTGACGCTTTGATGCTCACTTTTCAAACACACAGTTTGGGCTTTTTCTTACCTCGGGTCTGGCAGCACCGCGCTAAAAACTCATCATTCCCCATGGCACACTCCGCAGCGCTGCTCCTGCCACCAGCCGGGTGCCACCCCGAGGACCAGCAGGAGCCTTTGGAGCTGCCTGGGCAGGGTTCTCCGCGGCATTCCCGCAGGTGCGGCCGGGAAGGGGAGCGCGCTGCGCTGCGGGGCCGCGCCGGGCGATGGCAATGTCGGGCCGGCGCTGGGAGCGCAGAACGGGCTCCTCTGAGCCACCGGGGAGCAGCGCTGGCAGCGCCGGGATAGCATGGGAGGGGAGGAAAAAAAGGGAAAAAAAAAAAAAAAACAAAAAGGGAAAAAAAAGGAAAAAAAAGGGGAAAAAAAAAGGAAATAAGTGGGTGCTGGAGCTGAGAAAGGAGTTTCCGCATCATTTGGGAAAATGCAGCGGTGCTGGAAATACTGTGACAGAGACAAATGGTGCTGGTTGCCCAGTGAGATTTTTTCCACCATGAGTCTGTTACATTGAATATATGAAGTATGC